ACAAAGTTTGTTTAATGTCACTTACTAAATCTGATATATAACAATTTGTATGCAATGTCACTTACTAAATCTGATATATAACAATTTGTATGCAATGTCACTTACTAAATCTGATATATAACAATGTGTATGCAATGTCACTTACTGAATCTGATATATAACAATGTGTATGCAATGTCACTTACTAAATCTGATATATAACAATGTGTATGCAATGTCACTTACTAAATCTGATATATAACAATGTGTATGCAATGTCACTTACTAAATCTGATATATAACAAAGTGTATGCAATGTCACTTACTAAATCTGATATATAACAATGTGTATGCAATGTCACTTACTAAATCTGATATATAACAATGTGTATGCAATGTCACTTACTAAATCTGATATATAACAATGTGTATGCAATGTCACTTACTAAATCTGATATATAACAATGTGTATGCAATGTCACTTACTAAATCTGATATACCAGAATGTACATTTTTGCATTTTACGATAAAACCAAACCAATGATTACTCTTTTTGCTATTCGGGAATATGGAACTCTCTTGAAGCAAATCCAATTATTTCAGGAAACGAGGATTCGTCTTTACATCACTGAACACATGTTTTTAGTCGCATAGCTTTATATGATTCTCGATCTAGTTAACAAACTCCGGGTTGTATTGCATACAAACAGTGTATTCAAAAACTTACACAAACGTCATTTAAAAATGGGGTAAATACATGAAAAGAATTATTCATAGTGATCCACAAAGAAATGAATATTATAATGACATTTTAATGTATCTAAAGATAGAACACCAACAGAAATAAAAAAGTTGACTTTTTATTAATGTTTAAAATAAACTTGCCATGAAATGTAATCTTCATATAACCAACTTCCATTACAAAATCATGTAATTACCTCCAGAGTGCAATAGCGATGATGAAACAATCTCTCAACGGTCGGAGGCTCTGAACACATTTGTCACACGCTAGTTCCTAAACTCAGTACACCTAATAATGTAATCTTCGGTGCAACTGTAATAACTTTATGTTGTGACAAGTTCCATGAATAAAATAATTAATCCACTTAAATGCTATGAACATATTTTCCCACAAAAAGTGTAATAAATATATGTTGCAATGGTAGGGGAGTCACATTAATTTGCGAATTTACGCAAAAAAACAGCTTTTGGGGAAATATGAAAAAAATGAACAAATGGTAACGTGAAACTAGTAGCTAGTCGGTCGATATATGTCTGCTGTATTAGATCCATATTACCAGAGTAATCTGGAAAACTATGATGTATTAGTGCAAAATGAATAAATGGTATTGCATTCAGGATTAGAAAACACTCCTGAAAATTTGATGAAATTGTTTTTCTTCTTAATAATTGTTAGTTATGAATGACTTTCAAAACGTTGGGCGAATTGTTTTTCATACTTGACCTATTTCTTTTCTTGAAAGTGTAATTGTCAAAAAAAAAAAGAGTCAACAAAAACGACTAAAGTATATATTTGCAATATTACAGAATTAGCTTGAACACGTATATCAAGCAATAGATTAGTCCGTCTGAAAATTCATCAAAGTCGAATTGATCGTTAATGATGAAAATAATCACTAAATATTTAAATTATCATCATCGCAAAAAAACAACATATCTAGTACAGCTCCACGAGCTACTTAAAGTAGCTAAATAAAAGTTAAAACAACTGTTTTTGGCATTAGTTCTAGGTTTAGCCATTTTTATCATAGAATGATTATTACATGCTACTCATTTTTGCTTTTTTAACCTCTTTCATATACAAGTTCGTTGTTATCTTTTATATGACGTTATTACTGCCGTTGACATAAATTAATCTAAATCTAAACGCTGATAGGTTTCCATAATTCAAGTATCATTATATTTTATTCAACTTAGCTGCCGTGTGTTTGTTGGATCTCTTCACATTTGCTGTGTGTGTCTTGTTTTTACCCAGTCAACTTGAAGAAGGCTGTGCAGCTTTTGCTAATTGCAAATCTGGCAGTGTGGTCACCGAACCATTTCCAATCTCCGCAGATGCTGTCGTCTGACGCAGGGAAACGATTTTTTTGTACTGTGGATCCTTTTCTGCATTCGGATGAATAACCCTTCCGGATTTGGTTTTATATACGACTGTGCCGTGGGCTTTGCCTCTGTTCTTTTTCTCGACACTCCGCCTCGGCGTGTGCTTTTCTGCGTCTATACTGTTTTGCTTGCGTTTTTCTGACCTCGTTGAAGACGCTGATGATATAGCATCTTTTTTAATATCTGTGACATTAGATGAACCGTTGGTCGGCGTTGCGTACTCAGAGTCAACAGATACTTTCGGTGTTGATGTACTAGTATTATGGCCAGCAGACCCGTGATGCTTATCTGTTTTACTGGAACGCTTTCGTTCGTTTTTTGGTTTGCTTTTATGAGCTGGTGAACCAGTGGGAGACTCGGTAAGGCTGCGTAATGACGCTCTGGATGACGTCCTTCTAGGACGCCTTTTGATTCCGGATGCAGATAACTTTCTTTTCTTTGAAGCAGATTTACTTTGCTTATTAGGGCTTAACGAGTCTCTGTCTCTGCACTCAAATACCTCGGTAAGAAATTCAGTGCTTGTTTTTCTTGAAGTGCTTTCGGCATCTGACATGACTGGCGAGGAGGGAGGTTTAGGTGACGTTGACGGTGAAACACCTATCTTAAATGTTAGGTTTTCTTCGCTGTGTTTTCGTAGCAGACGATTAGTGTTCTGAAACGTCAACATGGGAGCTATGTCGTCTTCTTTTTCAGCTATTGACGACGAAAAAAAATTGTTTTCACCGACTGCGCCCAAACTTAGCCCCGACGACGTTTTACTTTCCGCTCCATTCTTGTTGCGGGTCACGGCGACTTGTGTTGTTTTCGCTGTCGATATCTGTCCCATGATGCCGTTCTTTGAGCCGTTCCCTGACTCCGGAGGAGACACAATTTTCGGGAGTTGATTTCGTGGGGATATTGGAGATTCAATGCCACTTGTTGAATTAGATAAACTTTTTACCTCATTCATCTCTTCGATTATCTTGTCAATGGTTTCTGTTGGTTCCATCTGAGTACTTGTTGCTGGCCGCATTTCTAAATTTGCACTCCTATCGCCGTGGATGATACCCGACTCCGAAAACGACCGCTGATAGTGTTTGCGTCTATCGTCCACATTTTTAGTGGTACTGAAGGCGGTTCTTTTTACTGTTGCCGAGCTCTCTGGCTCAACTACCTCGTAGTTCCGAAGCATTTTTGGGCCAAAATGAGACCGCTTTTGAAAGACCATGCATAAGCTATCCTCGTCTGATATTGGGGAAAGCGTGGCGACCCGATACACAGCGCCGTCATCAGCTGGAATATCAATCATGTTAACATTTTTGGCGATTTCATTCCCTTGTTGTAATTGTCGTCTGCTGTCTTGGCTAAACTGACGTAGTCTGAGCATAGCAAGGTCCACTCGAGTGCCGCGAGCTAATCCACCGTATTTCATATTTTGATCGCTACGTTTCATGGATCGACTGTCATCTTCGAAATTTAAACTTGTCAGTCTAGCAGCAATGGGCAGCATTTTCTTCAAATGAGCCGGTATATTGTCGTATAATGCGTACCCTTCTTCCACGAGGACATTGCAGCACTCTTTGTGCAACAACTTCGCTGCTAACATCAGCGGCGTATTGCCGTCGTTGTTACGTCTCTCTAGATCAACAAAGCCCTTCAGCTGCGCCGAATTCACCATGACGCGAATAGCAGAATGATTAGCGTGTTTCACCGCATGAACGACAGCAGTATTGCCGCGATCATCTTGGATGTTCGGGTCGAGTTTCCCGCTTCTTATCAATAGTCTGATGACGTCATCTTTGCCATCCTCCATGCACGCCATCATTAGCGCGGTTCTGCCATGGTTGTCTGTGGTGTTCACATCAGCCCCGTGGCTTAGTAATAACCGCACTAAATGAGAACGGATGTCTTCCTTGTCCAGGTGACATGCCCTCATCAGTGGGGTTCGCTGAAACGAATCCCGGAAATTCACATCGACTCCGTCCTCTTCCAATAGTTTGTGCACGTGCCTGACTTTACCTTGTTTAACAGCGTCCATCAGCGCTTTTTCCTGATCGCTCAGATAGACTATTTTAACACGTTGTTTGTTCCTAGTTTTTCCGCGACGTCGCCTCGCCCCATTATTTGAACCCAGACTGCTTGAGGACCAGCAGAGCTCATCCTCGTCGTTGTCATAGCTACTGTCTTCAGCAATCTTTTCAATGAGCTCTTCAGTATTATCCATTGTGTCGTCACTCGGGGAATTTTCTCTAAAATAGACAACGAAAAAAAAAAAAAGATGGGAGATTATAATAACTTGAATGCAAGGGATTTACTATCTGTATTCGATTACTCGAACGCGGATTATGCAGCCAACGTAGTTGAAGAGAAATTATAATTAATATGGCCGTATTTTTCGTATGTATTTCTGTGACCAGCCCTAAACAAACGCAAGCGCATATATGCAGACCGGAGTGAAACTTAACAAGTAAAACAAGTCATTAACATTACGCAGTATTCAGCGTACAATATTGAAATACTTATACTTATAAGTCAACTATTTCGAATCAGAAGTTGAAACAAATCGTCATCAATATTCTGTAGATGTAATTTAAAGCGGGGATGTCGTCACCTGCGCACGCGCCAGATGGCCTTAGCGTGTCATTGTTTACAAACAAGCATTTGCATTTTTAGCGGACTCAATTAGGACTCAATTCCCGCGCGAGCGCAAGTGGCGACCCTCCCGCTTTAAACCTTGATTGCAATCAAACAAAGCACGTAAACGACATGAGTCCGGAACAGCATTCTTGAAATCAAATGACCGCCAGTCGGTCAGTTTCAATCTAAAAAATCATGTGAATAAAGGTTTCATGATATTAAAACTACTAAATATTTGTAATGCATGTTCGTGATCCCATTCTCAAATTACAGAAGGAATTTAAGCGGGATGGTCGTCACCTGCGCACGCGCGGGAATTGAGTTCCATGCGATGATAACAACACACGCTAAAAACGTAAAGGCTCATGGGTGGACGCTTGTTTGTAAACAATGACGCATGCACAGGCGACGACACCCCCGCTTTTACTTTTATTAAAATGACCACCGTAAACGGTATGCATTACATAAGTGTACCATGATGTGATATATGCGTGATATACACGGTCGGTCTAAGCATGTCGAAATGTACGGGTGCATGGAGGTAAATCTACAAGTTCAGTTTTCATAGTTCGTCCAAACGGGGAGTAAGAATTTTTTTTTTAATTTTATTGTATGAAACACATACACACAAAAATACAGGTACCCACGAGTTCGACCAGAAATCCGACAAAGTCAATCGACACGCACGAAGTGGGAAAATGAGCAAAGTGTGCATGAGTGAAATAATAACCCATCCATGGCGTGCAATGACTCAAATTAGTCGGTGATTGGGTCTAACGAAGCTTATTAAGTATTCATAAAAGCGACATGTCTACCCATGCATAGTGTAATCAATTTATAAACTCGAATCATAGTGTTGTACACGTCATTTACAAGTCGACGGACGCCCTTCGTATTGTATATGTCTATTAAGGGTTTCGCGATTCCAAACTTTGGGAAGGAAGATGTAGTTCACAAAAATTGGGTACTAGTATATTATGCTTTTCTGACACTTAGTTTTTGAGCCACAGATGTTTTCTCAAGATTATTTTTTTTTAAATTTGTTGAATGCTTAATTTTGTTATAATCATATTTTTGTTATTTCACTTGTAGATTTTGTTTACAATACATTGTCTCTGTTCACCCAAATCTACCACATCAAATGTTGTAAAGGACACACCCTAGTGCATATTTCCAACCACATTGAGAAGCAGTAATGAAATATTCTTCGATATGAACATAGGAAATGGCCACTTTTAATTTCGAGTTAAAAAAATATTTGAAAATCAGTTGAATGTAAGTAATGCAATTATCCGTTCGTGACGATACCGGTAATTCTAGCGGCAATTCATAACGCAGTCGTTTCTAGTTGTCTTCGACAGAACGTCGTACCTTGTTACGGATATTGTTACATATGAAGACTGCAAAGCAAATACGAAACACGCGTGATAAAACCGTTAAAATATATCACCATATTCCAATGCCTTCCCTAGTTTCATTGTATATTTCTTTTAGCATTCAGTGAAGAAAAATAAAGTCAACATGTTCAAGGTTGTCCATAAAGGTCATTAGTGCTAAACACATTTAAAAATAATTTCCTGTCATCTTCTCCGTTAATGGATAAGCCTTATCCAGTCTACAAAGACGAATACATTATAATACATGTACTATGAAAGCACTCTGCTTGCAAATAATATATAGCAGAATTTTAAGTTGACGTGTTTATAACCGAAAACGGCAACGCAAATTATGATAAAACTCATCTTTTATAACTTATTATGTTCAACCATAATAATCATTTCATGTGGTTGTTTTTATTCAGATTAAAATCTTGGGAACTCATATTCTAGTGTTGGTGATGTCAATGCATGCAGAGATGATTGATATAATGGAGGCGCTGCCAGGCCAAGTTGATATCATTATACTCAATAAGTCTATATTCCAAAGATGAGAATACGACAGTTACAAGATACTGGAAACGCATCTATTAATGAGATCTCAGTTTGAATGAATAACGTGTGCATGATGGTGTCGATTTCATATACAGCCCAGTAGGCTATTTTCTGTCGAATATTATGTTAATGTGGTTACGATTGTTGTATTTGAGTTATATTAATGATAGAGCGTTAAAAATCCGTTTTCAACAGTACAAAATGAAGGCCAGCTTGATATTGATGGTAGCGTAGCAACCAAATAACACCACAAATCTAAATTGTACAGTTGTTTTCATAATATGTGAGTAATGCTTACATAGATATTAGTGGGATACCTGAAATATTATTTAGTTTTCCCTGACATTTCAATAGTTTGTATTGAGTGGCTTTGATTGATGCTTCCCTGTGTAATTCTGTAAGTGTGTTAAACATATAACACAATGATGTAGCTGCTTGATGGCGGTTAATAAATTGATATCATTATTAAATAGCTCTAATCAAAAAATGAGAGGACCGGTCTAGTACGCCTATTAGGTTGATGAATCGTGTAATTGATTGATTGACTGATTGATCGACCATACTATTGTTAATTTCGTGCCACAAAAAAAGATATGGTTCAGTATGATTACAAAATATGAAGAAATTGACAAGAACAATATGTATGCCCAGTGTATATCTCATTAAATTAAAGAGACTGCCGCCAGGCCATAAAGGTCAGTTCAGTCTGTGAATGACGTGAGTCACGGTTTCTTATCCAGTATAATAAAACAAAATGCTCGTGGCTAAAGTCCGTGACCGCACCGCGAACCAAACTACATTCGTCTTTACCGTAAACATAGCTAATGTGGTAATACTTAAAAAAACTATATTATCGGTAATCGTGTTCACAGACAAATGATGAGTATACAGGTATTTTAAGTTCTACAAGTTCTACATATCACTCTCATTGTATAAGGAGTGCCCCAGTTTTTATCCCCGCGTTTTCAATCTTGGTGTGGAATGATCGATGCAGCGAGCAAGTCAGTAGCATACTTTTTCGAATCCATATTGGTCGGCAAGCATAGAGACACCCGAACACGAACACGTCGGTAACTTTGGTTCAGTAGCGAAAAAGAATTAATAGCTAGAAAATGTTAGTAAAAAGGTTCGGTTTCGCAAGACATATACTCACCTATAAACCATAGAAATTGTTAGTAGAATCCGTTAGAAGGAGATGATCACATCTGTTCGACGTCTTCTTTATTGGTGTTGCTTGGCACTCCGTAAAATATCAGCCCTGTGACTCAAACTCAACAGATACCCTGCGTGAATTCGAGCGGCGTTGTATGGTTAGCCTAAATGACGAGATAATCTGACTTGATAAACGTGTTCTGATAAAATACGAATGTCTTCGCTATCGTTTAGATGCAATCGACGCACTAATGCGCCGACTCCGTATCATCTTCATAATCACCGGAAGAAAAGGCAAGTCTCAGCTGATAACAATATTACAGTGATGTATATAGCACCCGATATGTTATACGATAAGCATACTCACCAAACCTCTTTCGTGATTGTATGATTAGAACACCGTGACGGGAGTGTGGACTACTGTGCAAAACAGATGGAATCATTGCACGTTTTGCGCAATTCCCACTGATAACAGACGTTCGCACTAATAGTACAGTCCACTCCACGGGAGGGGTATATTCGTAGAGACTTTGAGGAGAACGTTATATACTCGTTAATCGTTAAAATATAACAATTCTTTGAAGTTGGCATAATTAGAAAAAAGAATCCGCAGTTTCAATCAGACAAAATCAAAACCTGCCTTCGGGAAAAATGTTATAAGAAGTTATGGCCATACCTTACCAAAAGTGATGCGTATCCCAACTCGCTTGTTTCCTAGTAACGGCGGATACTAAGGAGACTACTCTTTACTTGGTATTAGTTTGATGAGCGGTTCTTTCTTTGGCTGTCCAATCCCCCGCCGTTCAAACGTCTATTATGTTTTCGTCAGCTCCCCTGGACGGTATTATCACGATCAGCCTCGTTATAAAAAAAACGTATTATATACGCCATAAATGTCGCCTAATGTATCCATGGCAACAACGAATCCCTGTTTGTGCTTAGAACCAGTAGCCGTGTTTAGTTAAATGTCACCACCGTCATTGTCATATTTGTCACAGTTCAAAATAGACCGCTGTGTCGCATAACTGGTTAACATACGGGGCAAACATTAACCTCATTTCTGCCTAGTACAAAAGACATATTTTATTTACACAGACAACACACTAATTAACATCTACGACACAAGATATTTCGTTGTAAAATTAGTATTCCACAGGTCTATAATTGTTGTATTTCGATAAAATCAATACCCATGTCAACGTATGCATATTCACGAAAGCTAGAAATCATATGGAAGCTATTATCATATCACACCCAGAGACACCAACTTATCCAGAGTACACGTAGTCGACCTGGCGAGTAGGCATAGTCGGAGTGAGTATTTATGATGGATGACGATTTTCAATCTCGTCGCCGTGATTGAAAATGTGTTTGGTTAAATGATCAACAAGTTGGTTCGCGAAATTGTTTTTGTTTATATTATTTTTTGTGATCTTGTGATTTATTTTTGGTGGTGGTGATGAGAGGTATGGGAGGGGGGGGGGGTAACACAGAAAAAGTACAT